TCAGTCAGAGCAGCCAGATCGCGATTAATGACATTCGTCATCATTTCGCGCTGCTGAGACCTCATAAACATTGAGGCTGATGTTTCTGTACTAAAAAATTATAAGAGACTCATTGCAACCGCTCAGTGTTCGAAGCGGTTTTGAAAGAAATGTCCGAACGCGGCCAGAGGAGAACGAGGCTGCAGCTTCAGAGAACAGTTAAAAGTCTGAAAGCCAAGTTTAAAGAATCCAAGGATGCGAACCAAAGAAGTGACCGTGGCCAAATAACATGCCTTTTTTTTTTTACTGCGAGCTTGAACACATTCTGGGTGATGAGCCCAGCTGTCAGCCATCGGAACTTCATGATGGCTCCTGTGATGCTGGCAAAGATAAAACTGAAAGTTCTGGTAGCAACTGGTGTTTGTTGGCAGTTGTGATTGTTCACCTCTGGATGAGCCATTTGAAGCAACGTGAAGCATTTTTCTTTTGCGCATGTGGGTCAGTTTAGAAGCTGATCTGTTCACACTAATGTTGCATACATGTCACATTCAGATAATGTGTACAGCCAAACAAAAAATCAGATTTGGTGAGAAAATCAGATTTGGGCCACTCTTTACCTGCTGGGTGAACGTAGCCAAAAGCACCTGTTTTTTTTTGTCTTCAGAATTGATTGTAGGCTTAATATCTGTTGGTAATCATTGATGGTGAATGCCATCTTCCTTTTTCGTCTTTCTTTGCTAGGAACTGCTGTTACTGATGCACTTCCCACGCAGTCTCTGGCTACAGGTTGGGCTCTGACAGCAGAGGTGGAAGAAAAGGGACAGAGCGAGCGAGAGAGAGAGAGAGGGAGAGAGCGAGCATTAGAGATAAAGAAAGAATGAAGCATGCATTGATCATGTTGGACATGTAAAGAAAGGCTACCCATATACTCAATTTACTTTAATCTCCATTTAACACCTACATTCCCTTCTCCCCCGCCTCGCTCTCTCACTCTCTCTATATAACCAGCCCACATGCTGCGTTCCAGTCACACGCCTGCGTAGAGAGCTTATAAAAACCTTCTCGTTCTACCTCGGCGTCAATGACGTTTTGTTGTCCCAGTATAAAACATACGGCTGTGAAAAATAAAACTAATATTACAGACATGGTTAATGGAGTGGATAAAGCGACATAACCAGTAGCATCTGTAGAGTTTATGGTGCTGTAGGATTTTATCGGTGGTCATGATGTTATATAGAAGATTTGTGGCTCCACTGTGAAAGTAGTTAGATGGTTATGGAGAAACTGTTCATTTGATTTTGGTTGTTTATTGGTTGCCTGTGGAATGAACATTTGCTTATTATATTTAATCTCCCATGGTACTTTGCTACTTTGTGTTTCGATTCCAAGATCAGTGCATGGGCAAGGAATGGTCAGTGTTGTCCAGTTGAAGTTTTTGCTAACAGTAATTAAAGTCTAATGTAATTTGATTGGAGTTCATGAACATTTGACGTATTTCTACTCCGCCGGGTCCTTGGTGGTCGGTGGTGCACTTGAAATTGCTACAGTCTGAAAGAAAAACCTCAAAATACATGTTTCTGAGTTCACTGTCAGTGTCTGAATGAAAAATGAAACAGTGGGGAGAAAAGAGCGAAGAGAAGACCAGACGCACTGTCATATAGTCTTGCTCAATTTTCCAGCCCTCTAAAGAAATGTTAGAGCAAAAATTGTGACACTTTTATTTCAAAACCCTTCAAAGTTTGATTTCTACATCTCCCGGTTGGTGGCATGGCTATATTGGCACTGAATGGGCATGACCATCCCCCTTCGCCTTCCACAAGTCATTTAGTAAGTTGCAGCTTCAGTAAGGATCTACCTATTTTGTGGAATTATTAAGTGTTTTAGTCAGAGTCAGTCAATATGGCAACATGTACTGAAAGAAAAGTACAGTGGCCTGCCGAGTCACGTCACAACAACATTTGCGTAGCAAACAATAGCTGAGAACGCAACAGCATTAAGGGAGAACGCGAAGGCAAATACATTACCAGAAATGAAGCATTTAAAAAATGCTGCATTTGTAGAAAAAATAAAAACAGCACTGAAACATTAGTAAGTCATATCAAAGCAAACGAAAGCTGAGAACACAACAGTGTTAAGGGTGAATGCACAACATAACAGCATTAACTAAAATGAAAAACATTAATTGCTGCATTTGAGGGTCACTCACACCGGAAATGCTGCTGACCACTAGGAGTCGATGCTTTTCATGTGTAGGACATGTACGTGTTTGAAGATCAGTTAGCTGTGGAATCTTCAGTAAAGTCTAAAGTTTGTCTCATAATGTTTCAGTGCTGAGTTTTTATCTTTTCTACAAATGCAGTGTTTTTTAAATGCTTTGTTTCTTTTAATGTATTTGTGTTTTCTCTTTTATATTTGCATACTCACTTTTTTTATTTGCTTTCTCTCTTTTTGTATTTGCATTCTGAATTTAGTATTTGCGTTTGCTTTGTGTTTTTGTTTGCGTTCTCCTTTAATGCCGTTGTGTTCTCAGTTTCAGTTTGCATCACTAATGTTGTTTTGATATGACTCAGGGGACACCATAGAAAAGCCGTCCTTCATCACACACTAAGTAACAGTTAAAAAGCTGCCGCTATAGGTAACCCGAACTGCGTCGAAACGTACCATTTCCACAAGATGTACTTAGAAACGTGCATGCGTTCAAAACATTTCACACCAGAAAATCTCAAGAAGTATTGCAAGTTTAAACTTTTTGAACCAGCATTACATCCAAACTGAAACTCCAAGGATGCTCAAAGCAACACTGCCTTGAGGATTAATAAACCTTTCAAAATGAGTATGCGATTGTACTGGAGTGTTATTGTACAGTTCATAAATCTGCTGAGAATGCTTTATCTGCATGTAGTTGCTATAAAGCATTACCGTACATTCACTGAGAAGCACCAGTAATGATTATGTTTCACCACCTGCTCATATAAAACTAATGCCGCCTGTATAGTTCTTCAGTGCTGCCTCTTCTGGACCTTTGGAAGGTACTAGTTATGGCACATTTTCACTACACCAGAACTTCTAAAGGACACTGTATTTATCCACACAATAAGATACACTGCCTTTTGAATTTAAATTAGCAAATACTTAAGAACATTTGATTGGGTAATTACTGCAGTGATTAATATGTTTCAGCTGGCAGCAATTATTTTAACCCTAGCTGAGGCAGGGAGTGGCTCGGAAGTATATCGGAAGACGTATCTCGTGGTCGTGGAAAAGATGTTACTGTGTTTCAGAAGGGTCAGGTTATTGGCCTGCATCAAGCAAAAAATATGATTGCTGATATCACTGGACTTGGGTTAAGAACTGTCCAGCACTTCATTAAAACCTAGAAGGTTGGTGGTAAACGGTCAATTTTGCAGAAGAAATGACCGTGATTGGAGATCGCATAAACGCTCAGTGAAGTCGTATCGTAAAAAAATTGACAGTAGAACTCATGGCTATGTTTAATATGAAAGTAAGAGCATTTCCACATGCACAATGCAGCGTGAACTCACAAGATTGGGACTCAGCAGCTGTGTGGCCACTTGTTAGTGAGGCTAATTGGAGGGAAAAAAGTCTTCATTTTGCTAGGGAGCATGAAGATTAGAGGAGCAATGCGAAAAGGTCATGTCATCTGATGAGTCTAGATTTATCCTATTCCAGAGCGATAGGAGCGTCAGGGTAAGAAGGGAAGCGCATGAAGCGATGCACCCGTCATGCATATTGCCTGCTGTACAAGCCTCTGGGGTCAGTGTTAGGACCTGGGGTTGCTTCAGTTGGTCAGATGTAGGCTCAGCAACATTATGTGGCAATAAAATGAAGTCAACGGACTACCTGAGTGTTCTGAATGACCAGGTTATTCCATCAGTGGATATTGTTCTTCCCTGATGACACACACATATTCCAGGATGACAACGTCAAGATTCGCTGGGCTCAATTGTGAAAGACTGGTTCACATTTTCACACATGAGTCCTGACTTTAACCCCATTGAAAGTCTTTGGAATGTGCTGGAGAAGACTTTACAGAGTGGTCTGACTCTCCCATCGTCACTACTAGATCTCGGCCAGAAATGAATGCGACCCTGAACGGAAATAAATGTTGTGACGTTGCATATCGCTGTTGCCGGAACAAAACCTCGTATCTCCAAAATGGTAACTTTACAGGAGAAGGAAAAACGTACTTTACTTTTAATGTAAGTCAATAGAACCAGAATTTTTTCCAAGTAATTTTGGGTCAGTTCTTTTGGTTCATTCATCATGAAATTTACACACAATGAAAAGCCAAAAAAATACTTTCAGATAATGCCAAAACCTGAAAAATGACAAAAATGGAGATACAAGGTTTCGTTGGCATGCCATGGCGAATGCTGCTATAATCAAAGGCAATCAAAGGTGGCCCAACTAAATATTAGGCCTTTTTTTGGCCAGGCAGTGTAGTTGGTGAGCTCAGAGTACATTCTTTGTTGTAATGTTCTGTGTTTGAGGATTATAATTAAATACAGCTACAAATTACAGCAAACTTGCTTTGCATGCTTGTGTGCAACTTTTGAGTGTTTGGTTACATAACAGAATTGTACCCAACAGTGTCCAGGCCAACTTGGAACGTGATTGCGTTTGTAATTACAGAGTGGAGTGCAGAGCTGTAATTCCAAACATGTTTTGTTTAGCTGTGTTCCCCTTGCAGTCGTGTAGAACAATTTCCAAAATACAACTCAAGTCTCACTATTTGAGCATGTTGAATGAGACACGCCAGGTCTGTGTCTTTGTTTCTTGACTGGCTGTTTGTCTTGGCGTGTGATTTTGGGGAAGATATCTCATGGCCCTGACTGCTAGCTTACTCAGCACAGCTTGTACGGAGGAGCCCAGACCGGGGCAGACTTCAAAGGCATTTCCAAAAGTTTCCTCTCTCTAACAGCTGTGCCTCCTTCTGCCTTGAAGCAGAACACGAACGTCTTCCTACAGCGACGTAACACTTGTTTTCATCTCCCTAACAGACATTGCCAATGGCTCCAGCTCTACAGGATACAGACCTCCCCCGAGGACGAAAGAGATCACGATTAATGGGCAGACCGTGAAGCTCAAGTACTGTTTCACCTGCAAAATCTTCAGACCGCCGCGTGCCTCTCACTGCAGCCTTTGTGATAACTGTGTGGGTGAGTTGGTATCTTGGTGTACTTGCTACGTGTGATGCTGAGTAATGCAGGTCTTGGATGGGCATGTGCAAAAACTATATTTAGGAACCCTCACATTTTACACGTCAGTATGAGGCTACAGGTGTTAGATTTACTCCTATAAATTGCCTTCCTGTCTCCATGTCACTTTTGGTCTCAGAGGAAGTGGAGTTTACTCCTTTTTTGGGCTTTCTTCCTTCCTCACTCAACAGTTTCCTTTTCAGATTTCTCCATTACTCTATTATTATTATCATTATTATCATTATTATTATTATTATTATTATTATAATTACTATTGTTGTTGTTGTTGTTCTTGTTGTTGTTGTTGTTGTTGTTGACAGGCATCGTTTGTTTGTATGGATGTAAATCTACGACCATACAATTATTTGATTTGTTCATGATTTTTTTGGGAAATGATTCAAAGCCGAATCAAATTTTCCCACAATTTGATTATTCTGTTATTTTTTTGTTTTGAAAAGTACTCAGAATACACAAATCAAACTGGAAGACCTAGTAGTGAAATACAGACGATAATAAAAACAATACAGCATTTTAACATTTATTAAAATGTTAAAATAATAAAAATTTTAAAAATGAGCATGTACTTATTGAATATTGCTGTAATTGATTATAATCACTTTTAACATTACGTGCGTCAGTGCAGTTGAATCAGTACATTTAAATCGTTAAGCATCAGAACGTCTCTAATTACACCCCTGATTTGAATTACTGTGTCTGCTCAGCAGTCCAAGGCCCTGTATTCACTCATTCAGCTCAGATCTTTTTCACTTCGTCTTTTTTTTCCAGTTCATCTTCAGATTTGAACACTGATTTAGTCAATGTCCTTGTTACTTATATGAACTGTTTGTGATTCCACAGTTGGCGTGCCAGTTAGCTCTTGTAAGTCTTAGAAAGAAAACATAGCCTGATTTCTTAAATCACTTTTCAATATTAAATCTGAGAGAACACATTTAACCACTCAAAAAATCTCAGGAACAGTATCTAATTTTTCAATAGAATGAAGTTGAATACTGTTAACTGGAACATTCATACTGTACTGTGGCATGAGCACCTTAAGAACATATATATTGTACTGATGTACATTTAATTACTAATGTAATTTATTTTTCTTCTCATAATCTTCAGGAAATTCAGATGATCAGATGATCCAGTTGAAAATTTGGGAATCTTTCAGATATTTTATAGGTGTGGCTGTGTTGAGTAAAAGTTGAGGGACGTTACTAACTTGTACGTTTTTCATAGCCTATAAAGGCTCTTATGAACATCTAAGGAGATGTTAAATGGATTCATACATTTAATGCAACAATGATAACATTTTCGGGCTCCCGAGTGGTGCAACCGTCTAAGCGCTGGCCCTGTCATCAGGAGATCGCGGGTTCGATCCCTGGTGATGCTACAGCCATCTGTGGCCGGGAGTCCAAGAGAGCAGAATTGGCCTCGCTCTCTCTGGGTGGGTAGGATGCTAGTCAGCGCAGACTTTGTTAGCCTACGTGGCAGATCTGGTGGTTGGTGCTTTCCTCCGAGCATGTTCAGCTTCCAGTGACGTTGCGTGAGCAGCAGTTCGAAGAGATGCCGTGGCACTTCGCAGGACTCGGAAGAAGCCTGTGTTAGCCTTCGCCCTCCTAGCGCTGGTGGTATTGTGTGATTGGGGGAGTCCTAACCAGTGGGTGGAATTGGAAATGACTAAATTGGGGAGAAAATTGGGGAAAAATAAAAAAAATCCATTGTATTCTAACAATTATATTTCATGGTAAAGTGTAATTATCATGGGCTGGTACAGGACAAAAAATTGGTGCTGGAGATTTTATTAATGTTTCAAGTTATTTATGTGAAACAAAGCACACAGGTTGTTGAGAAGGACACTTTACCTGTGTTGTCTTGCACTTTTTACTTTACATACATATTTGTATATGTAATATCAGTGGGACGCAAGTGGCACCCGAATTGTGCAATCACCCATTTAGTGAATGCATTTTCTGGCTGCAATAAATGAGGAAAAAAACTGAAACAGCCATTTCCCAGACATGGATTCAAGTCTAGTCTTGAACTAAATTGTGACAATCCTTTTTAGTCCATGCTTAGGCTTAATATGGGTGTGGGAAACTGACCCTTCATCTGACTTACTTTAACATTGAATCTTTTGATCTCTGCAGAGCGATTTGACCATCACTGTCCCTGGGTGGGCAACTGCGTTGGAAAGAGAAACTACCGGTTCTTCTACATGTTCATCCTGTCGCTATCCTTCCTGACCATCTTCATCTTTGCCTTCGTCATCACACACGTAATCATGCGTAAGTGGACAGGGCCATCTCCAGTCCAGTGCTGGAGTGCTCCTCCCTCCTGTTGTGTCTGTCCCGTCAGCGGGGCAAACTGTGATGTGGGCGTAATGAGTTCGGCCTGGCCAGAGTCCATCTCTCTGTGTGAACAGCCAGGGATGGTCTGTTCTGTTTTTCGGAAGAGAGGATGACAGTGTAGACTCTAAATGCAGGGCGGGTTTTGCAGTTGCCGTTGGACTTTGCGACTGATTACAATGATTGTGTGGTTTTCTCACAATTACAGATGATTGGTGTTTCAAATCCTTGATAACTGGCTGAACAGGCTGTGCTGGGATTTTGCAGAATGAATTTTAATTCTTTATACTGCTAGTACATCTACAGTTAGTACTACTACTCCTACTGCTTGTATTACTACTACTACTTACTGCTAGTACTTCTACTGCTATCACTGCTTAGGGTGGTCTCACGGGGCCAGACAACATGTCTAAGGACAACATGGTAAACATTTGGTGCTGAATTGTGGCAAAATCCACAGTACCCCAGGGTAAACACCTAAAATCTGCCCTCAAATTTTTCTAGTCCATGTTTTCCAATGTGTTTTTTTTTTAAGCGTCCGTTGTATAATTGATAAGGCAAGCAACACAAGCTAGCTAGTCAAATACTGTCTAGCTTACAGGGCTCATGTAATGTGTTCTCTACACAAGTGACAGACATCAGCATGATTAATTGGGGGTTGTTTTCAGCCATGTTAGCTTAGGCCAGCGACAGGCTAGTCAGTCAGTCAGTCAGTGTTGAAAGCGCACCGTCACACCCCTATTTTGAGCTCTGCCATCACAAGGCATCGGGTTGGTTTAGAAATTTCACACTCAGTTTGTTCCCTCCCCAGTAAGTGTATCATCCCACCCACATTTGGTCCAGATTTCTCATGGTTGTTCCCAGACATTCACGTTACGAGTCAAACGTCCTCACGGGACAACTTTAGCCCACAGTCCACAGCCCTGATGTAGGCAATATTATACTTCTGTGCTGAGACTACAATGTAAACTATATTATCTCAAATGTACACTGTATTGCAAAAAAATTGTAAAACAGTTTAAGCACAATTGTGTCTGTGCTAGATTACAGCAGGGTGAACTTCTGCCTTGTCATGGCTGGTACATGTAAGTTTGATGCCCATGCTGTTTCTCAGTAGCACAGTGATTATTGTATAGCTAGAATCTAGTTTACTTAGTTAGATAGACAAATGTAAAATTTAGCATCCCTTTCATTTAATCGTCCAAGAGTCTAGCTTTTCCCTAACAGCAGTAAATCAACTGAACACAGACACCAGTGTCTGCTGTGTATTTGCATTTTCACTTTCACCGTGCTGTTGAGCTTCACTCCCTGTTTACTGTTTCTTGATGGTAATCTCAGGTAAGATAACCCGTCAAAACCTCACTAGGTTGATTCTGAGGTTGCTTCTGAAAGCATGTCGGGGTCATAAAAAAAGATGAGAGCAGAAATGGAAATCAGTAAGGCCAAAGTGATGCAATAGAGCAGAGGTCACTAATAGGCGGGCCGCGGTCTGAGTCTGGACCCAGACGCTGTCCTGTGTGGACCTGAGCCTATAACTGATAAACTATGGAGAAATATTTAATTTCGATGGGGTGGTCCTATTTTAATCGGTGTAACTTTTCAAGCCTTTACGGTAGCTTTAGCGGCCCGGGAGGCTCACAGACCAACCGCATGCGTTGTAAATATCATACATGACTCTTCAGCCAATCAGACCAGTGCATTACGATGAGCACTGAGACTTGAGTGAGTGACGAGGGAGGGACGAGGCGAGGCACAGCAGTCAGAGAAGAAAGTGAGTCAGAGTGAAGTTATTTCACATGGCGTGCTCTAAAACGAGAAAACTGACAATAAATGTTGTTGAATATGACTGAATTGTACTTTATTTGATTTGACATTCAGTTGTTGACTGTATAAGATGTTGATATACCTACTAGGCTACTTCAGTAAACAGTATATGGCACTGAATCATGATGCAAGTTAGACATTATGATGTTCTGGACCTTTGCTTGAGGACATTTTCTCTAACTGGACCTTATTGAGTTTTAATTAAAGCCCCGTGCAATATAGCAAGCCTCTCCGAATTAGCTTCCATTCCTTTCTTATTCCATCAATTGTGACTTGATGCGGACTGCATCAGGCATCAGCCGTCGACTGTGTTAGAGCTTCACAGAGGGCACTAATAAGCACCCGCAGTACCTTTGATAGGCACACAAAGAGACTGCTCTGTAGCCTGGCTTATTTGCGTATTTGTTTGTTTCATTGCTCTGCACTGCACTCAAAGGCTGTTGCTCCACAAATAAAGCTTGTCTGATTAGCTTGAGCTTTGTTAGGCTGAAATAGCGATGACATCTCTGGTGGCCCTGCTTTTGGGACGATTTTACCACTTGCTCACTCGCTGCCTGCTTTACAACTAGCTTACAGCAGAGAGGCAGAGGGCTGATGGAGGATCAGGTGATTAGGCCCTACTGTAATATCTCCCACGCTGTGCTTTCTGGCACTGTGCCACTGTAGAACACCTGTGCCCTGACTTTCAACATCTGAATCATAGCTTATTAGAGCAGGTCTCATCCCTCTCTGGCTGCCCTTGTTGTCCCAGGGTACTTGGCCCCTGTGAATGGTGTTCCATTCAGTTTAATCTCTCTGCGTAGGGAGAAACTGAGGTTGTGGGCGTAGCGGAAAAGAAAAAATATTTTGAATGGGCTTAATGTGCATTCTGAAGAATGGACTCGAACCTAACCTGAACCTTGTCTTGTCTTCACAGAATCCCATAAAAAAGGCTTCCTCACCGCACTCAAAGACAGTCCTGCCAGATATCCTTTTTGGCCATAATGATCCTGTATTTAGATTTACTGGCTGTTGTAGTAGTGAGTGTGACAGCCCCTTCACCTCTGTAGTGCACATTTTGTATTTGTCATGTCTGTTTAAGGAGTTACACGAAGTTTAACCCTTCAGAATCAGTTGTTGGCATTGATAACTGGGGATGGGAATCTCATGATTTGATCCGATTTTGATTCCAGGTGCCAAGATGCAGTTGTTAAATGACTCTGTATGCATCTTTGTTTCTGATTGATCATTTTTTTCCTAAATTTGTCTCTAACAGGTAGCATTTGCTATGTTTTCGTGCCTTTTATTTCATATACACAAAATGTTGACCAGTTTGTCACTGCAAACGTGTGCATGAGCGATGTCCTGCACTTTTTCATCCTCCAAGCCTGGAGGTGCCAAAGTGTCCTACTCAATAATGTCTTTACCTTAAGGTAAAGTCAGAAAATATAGAAACATCTGTTTATGACATTTTTCAAGAATTGATTCAGAATTTTACGAAAGAGAATTGCATCTTAGAATCGACTGTTTTTCCCACCCGTCTTGATAACAAAAGCATATTGTAATGTGTGTGTGCATATTTTTCAATCACATATCGGTGAAAAAAGCAAATACGTTCTGTCAAAATTGCAGATTCAAAACTTTCATTCGGTACCACATTGTGTTCAAAGTAGACCCTCTTAAACCGTTAAAGGGATTCCACAGGTTTTTCAAAATTGCTGCATAATTCAGTGGTTGAGATATAAATAAAGTATTTCAGAGTGGTCTGATGTGAAATGGTTCATTGCAGAATAAACTTGGCAGCTCTTTACAGATTTCTTTACAGTGGTGGGGATAGGAACCAGGGGTTGCATGTCTACAGTGCAAATATAGCCATTTCATTTATTATACAAGACAGTCAGTGAATCTTTACATTTTCCGGTGTTTTATATGTACTTTAGATAATAGCAAAATAGTGGTAAATCCAGAAAAGTACATTTTCTTTGAGAACTACTTGCAAGGTTACTGCCTTAGAAGCCCAGCATGGATCTCCCTGACCTGCATGTGTGATAAAAATATGCCCAATCAGGTCAAAAGCATATCTCAAAACTATCGTAAAACAGGGATCACACAGCACATTCATAAGCATTTACTTTCTGTGATGTAGCTTCTTGAGGATTAAACGGTTTGAATGTCTGGTTCCTGTCACTGGCACCACTGTGAACAGTTCTGACTCTGTAAGTAACATCCAACCACTCTGGATGAGCTTATTTACATCGCTTACATCAATTTTGAAAAATTGGTGGATTTCCTCTTTAAGCAAGCTTAAGAACCTTGCAGTAGATGGTTCTTTAAGAATCTCAACACAAACCACTCAATTGTGAGGTTCTTTACGGAACCATAAGTGTTTTTTCAGTGGCATCCCTCCAGCGAACCCTTTCTGACACTTATTTTTGAGAGTGTATTTGAACAGCCCACCATGCCAGCAGCAGAGCTGGTCTCACCTCAGCTGTCTCCCTCTCTCCCTCTCCCTGGCCGTCTAACTTCATCTATCTCTCTGAATCTCTGTGCCAGCCTGCTGTCTCTGCAGAGTCATGCCCCATGTGTGGTTTAGGCAGCACGCAAGGTGCTGCTCCCCAACCCTCTTTTTTTTATCAGCAGTGGGAAAATGTTATCAGTTTAAGGATTAGATGTGAGTGTTTGCCAGATATCTTTCCTCTGTATAATTCCTGTCATGCTGAGGATGAAAACATTCTGCCACTGGTGTTGGTTGGAGAGCTATTTTCATCTGTTTCCATGGCTTAACAGCTGCATGAAACTAACAGAGAAAGAAGAGTGTTGCCATTATGCAACACTGCTTGTCAGATTTCACCAAAGACCCTTTCCAAAGTGGTGGTGCTGTAGGTCAGGATAATCTGACAGGTGGGGCATTTAAAATGGCCTGCATAAGGGCTGTGTGTGTCTGCAGTAAATGCCACAGCTGAGACAGATAAGGGCTCCATGCTGAGGGAAGAAACCATCGTCACCGAGCAGATAACATAACCAGCGCTGCAGTCGGCATTCAGAAGAAAGCAGGTCATAACGATAACATCTCTTCAGTCTCTTCTTTTATGATTGATTGAATAATGGTCAGGTCAAGTCCTTGAGATTCAAAACTGTAGAGAAGTCCTAAGTGTCACTTAAAGTATTCCTTTATTGAGCACACTGCATTCACTTAAGTCGCTTAGTCGCTTAGTCGTTTTGATTATGTAGTATTAGAATTTTGAGTGTAGTTTGTCTTTTATCGTTCTCAGAGTTCAGTCAGCGGTTTCCTGCGGGTTGACTGTCTGACAAAGAAAATAAAATGCATCTATTTCAAGGAGTAAACAGTCATAAAAGACAAAGTTTTGTAGGAATCTGAATAATAAGTAATTATATTCATTTTGGCCAAATAGGAGATTACACAGAGTAAAGGCAAAGTGCTGACAAGGTAGTAAGACTTGAATTCAGTATATGTACCATTGGGTCATGCAGTACTGTGCAAAAGTCAGAACTGCCCTTTATTTATTTAATTTCCAGTGAAGTACATGTTATTCATTTTTCAGTAGATATTTCTAAGGAGATTAGATATAAGATAATCCACTTGCATAAGGAAGAAGGACGTCAAAGGAAAATAGGGGGGAAAAAAGGGAGTTTCCAAAATTGGAGTTCAAAAAAAGTGAGAAAATGGGACTGTGCAAACTGCAACCAACTTCTTAGACTGAACTTTGGAGGTGTGGAGAAATATTCTTGCAGATTTCTTTGAAAAACTGAAAGCAAGTATCTTGAAAAGAATGGAAGCTGTAATGAAAATTAAAGAGTGGACACACTGAATGCTGGAAAATGTGATGTTTAGACATTGAGACTTTTCAGTTTAACATGTATTTTCTGTATTTTTTTTTTATATGTTGGAGAATTTAGTCACTCTCTAAGGGTGTACATACAAGTACTCTGCTGTTACCCTCAAAGTCAAGCAGAACCTTTTAGTTAGTAAGTTCTTGTCCCTTGTCATATTAAGCACAGTTTGTCATTTTCTGTCATCTTCCATCACAATTTAATAACTTTTGCCCTGCCTCTCAAACATCTACTGACTTTAGGTTACTCCACCAGCAGTCGGGGAGAATAGTATTAACCAGTAATATCATGTTGAGCCTCCCCTGCCCACCAACACCACCTGTCATCAACAGAAAACTCTCAGGTGTCAGGGAGAGGATGGACAATAGAATTACCAATTAATGCAGACTTTTAAAATAAAGATTCCAATAAAGATTCTTTGGAGAAATGCCATAGAACAGGGATTGGGAACTGCAGGGCTGATGGGCTGGATTCCTGCACAGATTTTCCTGCTCAAGCGCACCTGATTCAACTCATCATTTAATTGCCAGGTTTAGTTGGTGAGTTAGAGCAGAGAAATCAGCAAACTTTGCTGGACTCTTGCCCTCAGTTCCCCAACCCTACAGTAGAAGAACCACTTCTGTTTACCTAAAGAAGGTTTCAGTGGATGGGTGAGATGTGCAAGTGTGAAGAACCTTTTAAAGTTTAGTGTTTTGTTGATTTCCTAAGTGAAACTATTTCATCACATCCTTTACAGAGAACACACTGAATATACACACAAAACACACTAAATAGTGTTTTGTTGCGCATTTTAATGCACAATTTAGGTATTTTTAACACAGAAAAAAATGAAACACAACATATAAAATGTGCCATAACTTTTACACAGGCCACATTTATGCTTTATTTTTTTCTAATATGTTAAATTAAGCAAATAAACCGTTAATGTGCATCAACATTACAGAGGATGTAATAACTTTTTTCACTTAAAAAATCAACAAAACATGATTTGACTGGGGGGCCCAAACTTTGCATTGGACTGTATAATGTAGAGGTTCTATACCCATTAAAGCTTTATCCTAAAATTTCCAAGCCAAGAAACATCCAAGCAAGAGATGTTTGATTTTAAGAGTATAGGAAGGAGGTATAACCTGTATTATTTGTTTGAGGGAGGTTTAATTATGGATGTCGCTTATGAGACATTATAATAACAGAGGTAGTGGTTTGTCTTTTTGCATATCCTTGTGTTGTAGTTTTCAAAATGATGTTACAGTTTGTCAGCACTAGTGGACGAGGAGCTCCCTGTGATCTTCTGGCCCTGCTGGTAGCACGTTAAGTGTGGTGCAAAGTGGCGTGAAATCCGCCTCTGGCAGCTTCACAGGTCGATGTGTTAGTCATGGGATTATCAGCCTGTGCACACATGTCCATTCTGTCCTCCTAATGCGCGTATGTGTGCACAGCTATCATACTGTGATAATTAGGGCATAGTGCAGATTTGTGAGGTTAAGCAGCAGTTTGCCTCCTGTGTTGTGATGTGTCCTTTCCTTGACACTTGTTTACTGTGCTGGAGGTCGTGGTGTGTTTTTTCTCTGTTTGGTCAATTGTAGGACTCTCTGGTTTCCACACCTACCTGATTGGATCCAATCAGACCACAAATGAAGATGTAAGTAACATTTGCCTGTTGTATGCTCTTGGTGTTGTGTGCTTTTATTGTAATCTGCAGGAAAACAACCCAAAAAGAAGAATAGTTATCACACAGATGAACGATGAATGCATCTGAATTTCATGTGTCCCTTTGAATGGCACTGTATGTTTTATTGTTTTTTACACACACACACACACACACACACACACACACACACACACACACACAGACAGACACACAGGGTGATTCAAAAAGATTCATCCGATTTCAAAATGATTTATTTCACTTGTACATCATTACAGAACAATGCAGTGAATTGCAAATGGTTTAAGTGAGCATAAAGTTAATAGGTTTTTATGTAATTTTAAATGTGCTCAATATGGCCTCGTCCAGCTGTACGGACAACATCAACGCCATAGTCAAATTCATCCCATACTTGATTTTCATCCAAAACACAAGGTCACCCTGTGCTCTTTCCTTTACATAAATAACCTTTTTCTTGGAACTGTTGGTATCAACGCCGAACGCTCTGAGCTGTTGCAGGTTCACTGCCGACGAAAATTATATTGCACAGTTATGACGGATTCACTCTTATTGAAGTGAAAACGCTTTCTGCTCAGGGGTCGCATCTCCTCACAGACTGAAGGGTGCGTGTCTTGCAGCGACAGTCAGAAACTCTGTGACCCCCTCTTTCAATTGGATTGTTATTGGTTCCTCGGCGCCGCACGGTTGTAAAAATATGGCACTTTGAAATAGGATGAATCTGTTTGAATCAACCTGTATGTGTGTGTGTGTGTGTGTGTGTGTGTGTGTGTGTATTATGTGTAGTGTTACTGTTGGTTTTTTGTTGTTACTTCTGTTTGTTATATTGTCTTTGTTCTCTGTTTTTTTTTTTTTCTACATCATTTGAACACAGCAGCTGCCTTTATTATTGTGTGAAAAGTTCATGATGATTGGGCCAATAGAAATTCTCCAAAATCACTTAGTTTAAAATCTCTTTACGTTACAAAAGTTACAAAACAGAATGTATTTGTTTTCTCCTGTAACGTAATATTTTGGATGTTTTCTTTGGACAACAATGATATATATATATATATATATTATATATATGTATACGTAGTAGTAGGTATATATATATATATATATATATATATATATATATATATATATATATATATATATATATATATATAGATAGATAGAGATATATATATATATAATAAATATATATAGATAGAGATAGATAGATAGATAGATAGATAGATAGATACAAAAAGTTAAGTGTTTGATCATCTAAACATTTTGCTGTTGTAAAACTTCTAAAAAGATGCAGTGTGGAATATACAGAGACATAATAATCTTAAAATCTCACACTGTTTAATTTTAAACTATCATGCTTTCAGTGTTCTGTCTTTCTCATTGCTATCTTTTCCTTCTCAAATGAGTTGAATTTGTGTCTTCTCCCTAGATAAAAGGATCATGGTCGTCAAAAAGAGGGAAAGAAAACTACAATCCTTACAGCTACGGAAACATATTCACAAACTGCTGTGCAGCCCTCTGCAGTCCTCTTCCGCCCAGGTGAGTTACAAGTGTTCAAAAGCAGCTGCTGTGGTTCCTCTGGGGAGGAATTAATGTAATTTTTATTTTTGGCCATTTCAGTAACAAATTAAGTGATGTGCAGTGCAAATTTTCCCAAAATTCTTAGTAGTCTTCTTGGTTTTCTCAGTGATGGCTGCTTCTCTGAATATAAAACATGCAACTAATTATTTGTGCCTCATCAGTGAGATTTTGTAGATACTAGTAATTCTACAGGATGGCAGTGTAGGCTGTTATTATTGGCCAGTGGATGAATTGAATGATCAGATTTTAATGTCCTTGTTCCTCCGCTAAAGCTGTGCAAGCTATTTATTGAGTTTTTGTTTAAGAAATAACTACAAAATCAGATTTTCCAGCAGCCCCAAACCCCCTCTTTCTCCTTTCCATTCCGCATAGCAAATGACTCCCTTTCATCATTCCTTTTAATGAGAAACCTCCCATATCTGGCTGCTTATCTCATTTGTTGAGAAATGAGTTGACTTGCCATTTTCTCCTCTTAACATTGTCAGCAAACTAAACAAGGCCAGTCTTGCTCATCTAGATTCAGAGTGACTGACAGAACCATTTTCTCAGCTGTTTCAGTTTACGTTTGTGTGCAAAGGTTATTTTTTGTCCTGTCGTATGCTTAATGCTTGTGAATCACTCTTTGATAGTGGATTTAAACTGAAGCTATTATTAACAGAAATATTATATCTCTGTGGTGAGCTGTAGAAGGGGGGCTGCTGAATGAACGATTTCAGTCAATGCCTCAAATGACCACTTCAGTATTCTGATATGGGAGATAGAACGAGGATGCCCACTTTAACTTCCACTTGGTGCTCACAGTCTAAACGTACGTGCCTCTGCTCATGTCTCCATCACAGGCGCTGCTGAGGGCTTTTCTTTTTTATGCACACTCGTTCATAGATAGTCCCTATCACTTGTTATCTCCACTCCAGCACACCACTTCTCTTTTCCTAACAGCGTAAGTTCTTGAAGAGTGAGCGGCTGAGCTGTCACACATCAGTTAAAGGTCATTAACAGCTTAAGAGATAGTCCACAGAACGTGGGGTGAAGATGAATGGCTGGAAAGCTTTTTAAGTGCAAACTAATAGACCTTTCTGTACTCTGTGTACAGAAGAATGTACTCTGCAGTTGGGCTGCATGGTATATCATTTGTTGCTTCTTATCGTGATTTTTGGCCTTTGCGATACTCAGAGTGCAGTAATAAGAAAATGTTATAAAAGAAAATGTTATAAAGTGTGGGCTGTAAGAATTCTGACCAATCATAAATGCTCCATGTAAGTTTTTGTGGGTCCATTTTATGTCTCAAAACTATTTTTTGACAAAGTATTTATCAAAATAAGTGCTTAACCTTTAGAGAAGGTTATTTCCCCACCTCAAATCAGATTCTGTATGAGCTGTTTATTTTGAAATGTATAGCATTTTCTGTCCCCCTGTTACCAGTTTTTAGGGAGATGTATAAATGGCATTTAAAAGGCTGTAAACTGAATTCATTATTTTCAAGCACGAAATTAAGTTACCCTTTTATTAATCCCACAACAGGGAAATTCACCTCCGCATTTAACCCATGTGTGCAGTGAAACACCCACATACGCGCTAGTGAACACACACTAGGGGACAGTGAGCACCCTTGCCCAGAGCGGTGGGCAGCCCTATCCGCAGCGCCCGTGGAGCAGTTGGAGGTTAGGTGCCTTGCTCAAGGGCACTTCAGTCATGACCTGTCAGCTCACGGGATCGAACCAGTGACCTTCCGGTCGCAAGACTGGTTCCCTAACCTCCAGCTCACGACTGCCCCCCATATATGTATATGAATACATATACAGGGTGTCTCAAACGTGAGGAAAACACCCATATAAAATGATACATTTTCTGGTGAAATTTTCTTCCAGTTTGATGTGTCACACACCTACCTCCCCACCTGTAAAACTGCAGTTGAATCCAAGATCGCGGCATTCAAGAGGGCCACCATGTTGGTGACCTGGCCTGACAGGTTTCCCCCCTTCCCCCACAGTTTGTGTCTGAAATTGGATCACCATCTGCCAGACCATTTTCATTTTATATGGGTGATTCCTTACTTGTGAGACACCATTTCAAACAAATAATAAAACTCCAAAGTTTCGTAGTGTTTTCTATATTTCACACACAGAGATATCTGATGGCTCTCATTACCAAATTGACACTTCTGGTAACATAAATTGGTAAATTAAGTGTTTCAAGACTGACCAAAAATGACTGATTAATAGAGTTGAAACTTGATTAACAAGGTTGAAACCAGACTAACAAGGTTGAGCAGACATCGTTTTCCCCATGATGTTCATGTTAATGCAGTAAAGCAACATATAAAATATATAGCATAGAGCAGAAGGGAAAGTCCAAAAATAGTTTTAATTCAAATGTTTTCATTAAAATCTTTGTTTCAAGCCATTTTCATTTAATTTTCTTTAATAAATATTGAAAGTAAAAAAAAAAAAAGGGTTGCATATAACACAGTTAAGAACCTATAATAAGCTGGCTTTCAGGAGTGGTTAGCTTGAGAGGGTGCACATGTTGCAATATAGTTTACATAAATGTAAAAAATATAAATATATACTTTTTTCTCACAATCATTTTGGTAACAGGGTTGAATGATCAAGCTTCACCCATGCAGCCAAATCAATTTTTAAGTGTTAGTTAAAAAAATAGAAGGAGAAAACCCTCATAGTCATTCTGCAGAAAATAAGATGATGCAAATTCCTGTATACTATAATAAATGGAACGTTCCATTTTTAAAGAGAGAGAACAGGTTTTGGTAACAGAGCTGCGCGTAAAATGTGGGACACATGACTTTTTTTTGTGAAATCAAGAAATCAATAGGGGAAAATAATTCTTTTAATATTAAATTAAACCTTAAATTGCTGAGAAATTACTGGAAGGTTTTAATATAGAGTTTTTAGACATTTTGTGATCATTTAAATGCTCATTAACTCAATTACAGATCCTTTTACTTTTCACAGAAATAGACAACAAAAACTCTTTATTACTCTTAAAAAGATAATGGGACAAAAATTGAACTCTATTCATGGAAAGTGCCGAGTCCTTAGGACGAAATAAGACAGAGGTCGTTGATTTTATCTGCAAAGGGCTGCTGCAGGCTTTCTTTCCGACAATACAGAGCACACCTGATCAATTGTTTGAAGACAGAGACCAACTGATTAAGCAAGTGGAATGAAGTCTGCTCCTGCTCATCTGAAATAAGAAACCACAGCCACACCAGCCCTTTGTGGATAACATTGGATACCTTTACTTGAGGTGTGGTCAAAATACTAAAGGACATCAAAGTTTCACCAATAATGGGTTTTAATATATTTAATAGCATAATATATTTAAAGGGCCCATATCATGGAAAGCCACATTTTCCTCACTTTTAAACAAAATAATTAATTAAATAAAAAAAGGACTAAATATTGAAATGGTATTGTTCACTTTTCATGGAAATGAAACTGCAAAAACAGCTTGTTTTGAATCCACACATTTACATATATCCACCAATCTAGCCAACTGTAGTTCAGCCCCATCTATTCACGCTCAAGTTTCAGCTCAGACTGCTTTTTGAATGCAGAGCAGCCAATCAGAACAGAGATCATTTGCATATCAGTCTTAAAGGCACAGTAATTCAAATAATTCAAATTGAATTATGACTGTATTTGGTACAAAAACCCAAATAAACATTGTAAGTGGACCCCAGGGGGAAAAAATAATGTAGGGGGGTTTAATATAATATATAATATTTAGTTAAATATTGAATATGTTTAATATAATATTTATCACATTCAAATAGGGATGCAGTGTTCATTTTAAATTCTTAAACTAAAAATGCCTTTTTATATAACATTAATTGAAATACATGTTACAGTGCTGCACTGAAAGTAAGGTGTCTAGATATTTAGCACAATGAGTCATGCGTAATTATGCCGTTACATTTTGGTACAGGTGTAGCAGTAGCATTCAGTTACAGTGTGAGTGCACTTACCTGCCTTATGTTTTTATGAAATTTATGAATTACAACCCAGTTTGGCCGAAAAAAAAGAAAGGAATTAGATCAAAATCTGCCAAATCTGGTTGTGCATTCCTAGTGTAGTAACAAATTGTCCCTGTCATGCAGCCATACTATACAATCACATTTTCAGAGGCGCCATTTTCATTTGCATTGTCATTTCAGGTTTCAGTGCATTTTTTGGCTCCACTGCACCTTTTCCTGCTGGTTCATACAGTGTGACTGCAGTGCTCAGTGACAGAGCTGCTCTGACTGTCCTGTTTAACCATGCTAGTAACAGTTCATTGAACTGCACCGTCCCTGCTGTATGTCAGTAAATGTTGTGCATTGGGTGACCTCCACTTTGGTGAAGCATTCCTTTAAGAATGACTCAGAGTGGATAAATAAGCTTTCGGTTGCTCATTAACCTTCTCTGCACTGCCCCTGCTCTGCCATTCAGTGTCATTCATCGCCATTCATCCATATCAGCATTCGCTTAGGGATTCTTTGACATGTTGTAAGTTTTTAAATCATACACACTTTTTCTAGATGACTTATGTGCCTGCTGTGCTGACGTGGCAGGCTTTGTCATGGGTCTGTCTTGAATAGATGCTGTGCTGTAACATTAACTGTGCAGTGCCATTTACTGTCTGAAACACTGCTCAGTGTGTGGAATGGTCCGTCTTCTCCTCAACCATTTATTTTCCCTTATGCTATTATTACGCTGCCTTACTTGTCTCATTGTTACTTTGACCAGATAAAGATAGTGATAGTGATTTATAATAATTATAGTTATATACAATAATGTGCAAAAGTCAGAGACCACCCTTGCATTTATTCAGTTGATTTTAGATACAAGATAATCCATTTACACAAGGAAATCCAAAGGAAAATAAATTAAATTATGGGCAAATGAGTTCAAATTATTACAGTTATAGAGAAAATGGGGCTCGTAGCAACCGTGCAAGACCTGGTAGACACCAAAACTGCCCCCCACCGGATAAACAGCACTTAAAGCTTTCATCTTTGAGAGAGAGGAGAAAATCAAGCTGCTTCAGATCTGGAAACATCCACAGGTGTTCTGTCCATCCTTCCACTGTGAGAAGACGACTCAGCACTACGGGTCTGAAAGGATGTGTAGCTGTCAAAAAGCCCTCACTGAGAAAAGGAAACAGACAAGGAAGAAAATTTGCACTAGAACACCAAAACCAGACATATGAGATGTGGTGTAAGGTTTTATGGACTGATAAGTGTGAAATTGTATTTGGGATTACTTGGATGGTGAGAAGCAGACAAAAGCAAAAGACTGAACTGTGGAGAATTTGAAAAATATCCCTGCAGATTTCTTTGAGAAACTGAAAGCAAGTCTTCTGAAAAGAATGGCAGCAGTAATAGTTAAAGATTGGACACACTAAATACTGGAAAAATGGGTATTTTGTCTAGTTGTTTAAAAATATGCTTTTCTTTTGTTTTGACAAATGAACAACCTGCACCGTTTTGAAGTTTAATAAATAAAAGGGTGGTCTCTGACTTTTGCACAGTGCTGCATATTTATTATTTTATATAGCACTTTGTTAACTTGTTAACTGTATGAAATGTTTCACAGAATGAATAGTAACAAAAATACACAGGAAACAAAAAAAAATGCAAGACAAAAGGAAAAAACAATGTTGGGAAAATAAATGACAGTACAGTTAAACTAAAAAATAAAAAAGATAAACTTTGATTGCACTTGTTTAATATAAATGCAGTATTAAATAAGTGTGTTTTAAGATGATTTTTTAAAAGTGCCAAGACAATTGCTCTTAGGATTATCTGGCAAAGTTTTCATCCCAGTGTAGCATCTCTCACTTTTAAGTGTTTACATATAAGAATCTTTGTTTCGCTCCACAGTCTCATTGACAGAAGAGGCTTCGTCCTGCCTGATACGCCTCAGCCTGCGCCTCCCACCAATGGCATCACAATGTACGGTGCCACTCAGTCCCAGACACACATGGTAAGCTTGAGCCTGCAGACAACATTACTGAACATTTAATAGAACACAGCTGCAGTGTCAGGGTTTCCCATTCTCCGTTTCCAACATCCATAGTATGTTATGACAACAGAAGAGATGGAAAAAAAGCTGAAATACAGTTTAGATAACTTAAAAAAAAAAAATAAAAAAAATGAAAAGAAGGCTGTAATTGACTTGGTCAGAAACTGAACTGAACTGCATGAACTGCTTTTGACATCCTTGTTTAAACATCATAGAGCCAGTTCAGAACTAACCTTTAGGGCTTTCTAGCTCCAAACCAGTACAAGTAGTTAGTAGCCTTTATCAGATATCGAAGGAATGCTTTGGTGGTTTGACCATAAGCAATAATTTCTTTGTACATAGTAAATGAATGAAATACTGTTGACTTAAAGGCGACTTACTGTGGATTTACTGTTGACTTCATGTAAAAGGTGGCCGAATCCATTTCGATGTGCGTGTCAGGTGGATCGGTGTTGTTTTGCACATGCGTGTGATTTGTTCAGACTGATAAATGATGTAGGCCACATTAAAAAAAAAAAAAAATGTGAATGACCAAATGACAAATATCAGATTCGGACAGTATATTGGATTTGTGCCACTTTTACATGCAGTCTGAAAGTAGCCAACATTCCGACTGCAGGTAGAATTCCACCTGCTGTTGGGCTTCTTATAATAGAAACCCAAGGGCAGGTGCTGAAGCTGAAGCACCTGCCCATTGCCTTCCATAATCAGTAAGCTTTGAGTCAGCAGTATTTCTGTTCTTTTTCTAAGTACAGAGAAACATTTCAAAATGATTGTCTGTGGTAACTGATCTGCATACAGATGCATCAGGTAGAGATTAGGTTGAAAAACCTCTAATTCCTAAAACATGCATATTTTCCTCTCACCAAAGCTGCTCTGAATGAGATGTTATTGTTTGTGAAACATGAAATTTTTTGTTTTTTTATTAGTATTAGTCTAAAGAGTGACTTGGTGTAGTAATAGCATGTCAGTTTGTGACCTCCTGCATATGTGGCAATTCAGGACGTCCAAAAATATGATTAGTGCAGGTTAGATTATAACCTGCTAGGAACCCAGTTCTAGCCAGTCCTCTCTCTGACTGGCCATTCAATATCTCTGCCACAACAGCTATGTGGTCCAGCTCTTTTTACCTTAGTTATTTCTCTTTCCAATCCACTCTTCTTCTAACTTAGCATTGAAATCTGGGTGTAGTGGCCAGCAATTATGTACTGGTATTTTATTTACTATTATAATTATTTCTAATTACTAATTATTTACTTAGAATCTTGGCTTATCGTTTATTTCTTGATGTAGGCTTTCATCAGATGCTTTCCAAATGGCTTCATAAACATCATCTGTTTTAAAGCGAATCAAGCACAGTAATTGAGACTGTCTAGTGAACAAAACCTGATGGTAGACAACAACAAAAACTAAATAACCTGCCAATTTGATGCACATCAGCACTACCAACCAGACAAAACCTTCATTTTTTTAAAAGTGAACACTTATTCTAACAAAATCTAACAAAACCAGGCATTAAGTTACCAATAAGTGGCTGTCGCAGCAGCTTGGGAATATGCAGATTAGCAGCTCACCAACACAGGCTCAGCAGCACCACAGTGTTTTTCTTTTTAGATTGTCCAGTGTTTTATTTTTTCCATGCTCTTTAAATGTCTGCCTATTTTCTGTGAGTAAGATTCAGCTTTCAGCTTCTGTTCTTCCTCCTCAGCTTTTTAAAATATGCTATTATAATTCTGGACTGACACTTTAAAATTATTGGCTGAGCTTTACTTTGAGATTTTCGGCTATTGATGGCGATGCTGTATCGTTATTGCTTGGGTCAGTAATTGTTTCAGGATGTGCTCTCTGCTTTCTGCTGGACATGAAATGAATGAGGCTGTAAGTTCATGGTAATTCTGTCATTCTTTTTTATTCCGTGACATTTTCTTCTTTGTCTGACTCTCTTTTCTCTTCTCCCTTGAGAAATTACAGCTCAGCTTCCTCTTAGTACAGCCTGTACTCAGCCATCAGGATAGGAAAACAAATACCTGGATACCCTTTCCTCAACAAGACACTCATATCACTCAGCACGTTTAAACTGTTACTCGATATCAGTCTGTTTCCAGTTCAGATAATGTTTTCTCTCTCAGTACAGAAATAACAGAAGTGATGAAATTTGAATTGACAAAAACATGATCTGATAAATGGAACAGTAAACTGAGAATTCATTTCATCAGTAAAACAGTTAGGAGGTTTTATCAAAGCTGTTTTTCATTCATTACTCATTTGAACGTTTCAGCAGTTTCAGTCAAACCTGCTGGCACTTTTCATAATTCTCTTTTCTCAACTTCTTTTTTGGTTATTATTATTAATATAGAGTAATCCATGAAGGATGCTAAATCAAACTTGCTGTTTACATAAAACACTGATATTAAAAAACTAATTTCCCTTCAGGTCATCCTGTTTTTTAAATGACCTGTTTATTAAATCATTTCTCTGTGTTTTTACTACCAAAGTTCATCACATGAGCTTCATCATTTAATTTTTGTTACTTTCACCCTTTTTGGTGTTATGATTTGGACAGATCTATTGCATTTGTCTGCTGTCCGTGTGATATTCCCCTCTATTTCCCCTTATGGCGTGCAGTGGGATTTGGTGTTGTGCTGTAGAAGTAGGTCAGCAGCAGGCAAGGCTGGAAGAGATTTGTGATAGTGTGAGGTAGCTCCAGAATGTGTATCGCCCTTTTTTCTGACCGACGCACATTTTCTCTTTATAATGCTTGCAACTAAAATTGTTTCCAGTGTCTTAACACTTGTACTTGCGCAGAGATTCTGATAGATTATGAGTTTTGGGTGTTTATGTGCAGTGCCCTCTGAAAAACAAAAAATAAGATAATTGCTAAATCAGCTCCCTGTTTTTAAGATGAAAACCAGACAAATGTAGTAACATTGTGCATAATGCATAGAATTTTGCTTCTATGTTTTATTCTGGATTTAAAACATGTTTTCTGCCACCCCAAATTCCATGAAGTTTCCAGGTAAACTAAGGACACAGTAGATCTGTGAATGTCTTTTTAGTAGTCACTCGGCATAAACCATTGTGGGCACTTAACAACTTGATTGCTTACAGAAAAGAAGGATTCTGTCGGTCGTAGCTCAGACATCACACTTAGCAAAGCAACAGAACTCTTTGTGTAAACAGCAGTCAGCAGTGAACAGGTTGACTGAGGAAAGCGACTGTGATTGAAAACGAAGATATGAAGCAGTGAGGGCAAACAAATCTGAAATTAGTGATGTCCTCCAGTGTGCAGGGACAATTACAGAAAACAGTGAGAGCAGACTTACAACAGTTACATTGCAAGGTAAAAGTTTTCCACTACCATCAAAAACAAAAAAGGGCAGGTCAGTTTTAAAAAAGTGAAATGAGCCAATAGAATTGTATTTTGCATTTTATGTACTGGTTATAATGTACATGTTATACATTCTCCAGTGGTGATGGAGAAGTTAAAATGTAGAGAAAGCATTTGCTGATGATTTTAAAACATGCCACCTTGTCTGTAAAACATGGTGGAGGTAGTGTTGGGCCTAGCCGTGAAAGACATGCTGGCTGTGTCATCTTTGTAACATGATGTAACTCAGAGGAGTATGAAAGTGTTTTGTCCACTTGGGGCTCTTTGATTCTAGAAATTCTGAAGTAGAATTTGATTCTGATTTAAAGTGGTTGGGTTGATTACACATAAACTTTATTTCTCGATTTCAAAAATCATTACATGGGGAAAGAGATCCAGCAAAATAAAGAAAAAAAAATGCAACATTACCATTATTTATTAATCATTAATTATACCATTACGTGAATGACAGGAGACCACCTTAACTTATTAACTGCCACCTCAAGGAAATGTCAGTTTAATTAAATGACCTATTAGATTTACTAACGGGATAGTTTAACTGTAATGTTTCCTGATTCTTCTCTGTCAGCTCCTTCAGGTGGGTAGATATTTCAGCACTGGCAGTATTGTTTAATTGTAAGACACGTTTTGTTACAAATTTTACATTTTACTTTTTTACAGTCTTTACAGTTTTTTACAGTACTTACGTGTCCGCTATGTCACTGTGTGGAATCATGTCCTAAGCTTACGCATTGACTCTTGATTCCTAAATGCCTGTAATTGGAGAATCGACACTTTAGGATTGACTCTCAGCCCCAGTTTAGATTAATTGGGAAGTGCAGCACTGAGCGTGATCCAATATACACAACACAAAGAGAAGAAAAAGTGGAGGGCTTTGAACTGTCTACGTTTTCACATTTTATCAGGCATTTGTTTCACTTGATCAGAAGAGACTGAAGACAGAAAGCAGCTGAATATGACCGTTTGGCAAAGCATGTCTACAGATAAAATAGATTAAAGATAAAAAATAAAAAAAGATGGTATTTTCAGGGAGATGTCGGCTCAATGTGATGTTTCTGCATGCAGATACTATTTTGTTATACTGCACCTTCATTATGCAGTCCTAATAAATGAGATATATCTGCAGTACCTAAAAGTATGGGACCAGACCCACAGTTTTACTTGTAAAAATGATGAAAAACCCAGAAAATACCATTTTGCACTTTTGTCATATCAGTATGATAGTATATGACGTATAGCTGCTGTCGGAACAAAACCTTATCTCCATTTTTGTTGTTTTTCAGTGTTTGACATAATTTGAAAGTGTCTCATATGTGTATATGTCTATATGTGTAAATTTCATGATGAATGAAACAACAGAAATGACCCGGAAATACTTTGAAAAAAGTCTGGTTCCATTGAATTTCATTAAAAGTTGAATATGTTTTTTCCTTCTCCTGTAAAGTTGTCATTTTGGAGATGCAAGGTTTTGTTCTGACAACAGCGACATACTGGTTGAAATTGTTCTTTAGATATGAGTTTCATCACAACCATTATACCAATATGCCACAAAAAAGTGCAGATGATGGGACAT